CTAATTGATTGTGTCTTGCGTTATATTATAAAATATTTTAATAGCATTTTCAATATTAGAAATATCTATCGAATTTGATAGTATCTATATAATTGATCAGATATAGGTATGAAGAAAAAGTGAAAGAAATAAGGTAAAAGATAGTATCTATATAGTTTTAATATATAAAGTTATGCAGAAAAAATGGATTTTTCTTTAATAATCATGTATTAAAATAAAATTTCGCAAATAACTACGTTTCGGAAAAAATTACGCAAATAATCATGTTTCAGATGACTCTCTAAAGGAGGAGTCATCTCACTTGGCGCCTACACCCATTATTTAAGGGGAGGCGCCATCTCACTTGGCGCCTAGGTTCTTAGGGCTTGCCCTAAGCCAAGTGAGATGACGCCTTAGTGCATTTCTAGGGCAATTTTCGCGTTTTTTTTTTCAATCTGGTGCGTTGCGTATTCGATACAGGATCAATAAAATTGATTTTTTATTATAAAAACATGATTACACCCATAAGTATTACATAAAAAAAAAACAGATAAAAAAACAGGTAAATCAGTGGTCCCCCGGAACCCGGTAATGACCCCCGGTTCCACATCCTCGTCCTCGCCTTTCCCGTGCTGGGTGTCGTCGCGTTTCCTGCTGTGGCAGGATCGATAGCCCAGCGAAGTCAATGCGTTCCGGATCCATAAAATCAGTCAGATCTCCATATCTAGAAGATCCGCTTTGGTACAGTCGGTTACCCATACCCTCAAAGTTTGGTCGTGTTGGCGGTGGATGGGGTTCCATGGTGGGTATGTAGCATTGATCGTCTGAGTACGAGGGGTAGAAAGGAAATGGATCTTGGGGTGTTTGGTATTGAGGATGTTGGGTGGTTTGGTGATACTGTGGTTGATGGTAAGTTGGGTCGGTTGGTTCGTAATCTTTCGACATTCCCAGATCAGGGCTAAGGCTGGATGTTGAGGGGCCCATATTGGGATATACAGAAGACTGAAATTGTGTGTGGGGTATACGGGTGTGTTGGTATTGTGATTGGAATTGCGGTTGGGTGTGAGGCATATGGGGGTATTGGTATTGAGGTGGTGATTGTGGTTGGTTGTGGGGCATTTGGGTGTAATTGTGTTGTGGTGGGGACTGTGGTTGGGTGTTTGTGGTTCTGTTTCGTCTGGGGGGTTGGTGGGAGGTTGATGTGTGTTGGGTTTGTTGTTGGGGAAACGAGGGTTGTGCCCATTGTGTTCGTTGGTCAACCAAATACCTTAGATGAGACACGTGCATTTCAGGGTTACTAACCGACATGTACCAAGATAAATATTGATTCGTGTGTCGTATATTACCATGATTGAGGAAAATCGGGAATTGCAAGACATGTCGGTGACGTCTCTACCACATCTTAGCATTCTGGAGCAAAGTCTTTCCAGTTGGTAAGACCCCACTGGGCGTCGACCCTTTTGAGATGCCACGGGGACAAACAAGTCGGATCACTTGGTATCTCTTGATGCATTCCGAACTGCATCTTCACACGATCGATGTGGTGCATCTCCACAACATTGAACCATATGATTGCAGTCTTGGTGCTCCAAATTGCTGCATCCTCGGGGTTTGGTTCATGGCCCAAACCCAAATATGGTCTCCAGACAAACTACGAAAAAAATTAAATCAGGTTAATGAAAACGTAATATGTAAATAATTTAAATAAAGACAAGTTGAAAGGTACGACGTATATCATTCGGGCCTAGGTGATCCAACAGATTGCGGTATAGTGCGACATTGAATCTTGGATTCTTACCGTAATCCATACCCTCACGTAATACCTAAAGGAAATGAAAAACATTTTATTTTTAGCATATATTTGGTGAAGAGATGAATAGTAATAAATGATATAACTTGATGACTTACTTTGTTGCGTACAGAAAAACGAATGTGTTGTTGTTGACGGGGTTTAAGGACTCCATCATCCACCAACCCCAGGCTTGAAGTAAAAAAGCGCAGCCATAAAATGTACATTTTTCCTTGACTGCATTTTTGCACAAGGAACTGTATAGGTGAGCTAAAACTGCAGAACCCCAACTATACTTTCTTGTTTTTTCAAAATCTCTAAGTAAATGTAAATACATAAAATTTACACTATTTTCCGTACTTTCGGGAAATAAAAAGGTTCCAAATAGTATCATTAGATAAGTTCTAGCTTTTATTACCCTGTCTTGCTCGGAGGAATTTTCGTTTAATTCCAAACTTGCATAATGATTTTTAAGCTCAGTGAGTAGTATACCCTGACCTCTCGCACCACCACCTTCAACCATATCCCTGCCCAATAATTCTTCACACTGAGAATTGGATTGTTGAACCGACCCGTTAACGGCCTTACCATCGACAGGGAGACCCAGTAACATGTACACATCCTCTAGCGTGACGGTACATTCACCTATTGGTAGGTGAAATGTATGGGTCTTTGGTCTCCACCTTTCCAACATTGCAAGAATGAACTTTGAATCAATTGTGCAGTTGGAGATCTTTATAACATGTCTGAAACCTGCGTATTCCAGATATGGTACGATAAATGGGTCGGGAGCCAGGTAGTTGTGAGACCGGATTCTGAATCTTTTGGTATCCTGAGTTAATAATGTAAAAGGTGTAAGATTAAGTAAGATGAACAAAGCATTACCTGAAGTATAAAAAATGTATAACCAAAATAGAAACTTATAAATTCGACAATATTGTCCCTTGTGCCTCTGTGAGAATCGCCCATTGTGAGAAGAGCCATTGTTGAAAATGCCTGAGATTATGAAAGATTTAGAAAGTGTAAGAGATTATGAAAGACTTTGTAGCAGAGAGTGAGACGATTGTGGGTGTGAGAGAAGTATGTTATGCTTTGTATTTATAGGGAAAAAAATTCATAGAGTAAGTGAGGTGGTAGTTGGTGCATGCATGCATGATAAGTGTCACTCTTGCAGAGTAGGCACAGGCTAGGTGGCAGCCTTGGAGAAGGCATCTCTGCATGCATGTAACACGATTGGACATTAAGGGAGGCGCCATTGGACTTGACGAAAGAGTTCAAAAATTAAAGTTATCGCCATCCCCATTGGCGAATAAGAGGTGTCATGGGTTGCAGAGTAGGCGCAGGCTAGGTGACAGCCTTGGGGATGCCATGCCTGAATGCAAGTAACACTATTGGAGGTGATGGGAGGAGACTTACAAGTAACAGTGTAGGTGCAGAGTAGGCGCAGGCCAGGTGGCAGCCTTGGAGAAGGCATCTCTGCATGCATGTAACACGATTGGATATTAAGGGAGGCGCCATTGGACTTGGCGAAAGAGTTCAAAAATGAAAGGTGTCGCCATCCCCATTGGCGAATAAGAGGTGTCATGGGTTGCAGAGTAGGCGCAGGCTAGGTGATAGCCTTTGAGATGCCATGCCTGAATGCATGTAACACTATTGGAGGTGATGGGAGGAGACTTACAAGTAACAGTGTAGGTGCAAAGTAGGCGCAGGCTAGGTGGCAGCCTTGGAGAAGGCATCTCTGCATGCATGTAACACGATTGGACATTAAGGGAGGCGCCATTGGACTTGGCGAAAGAGTTAAAAAATGAAAGGTGTCGCCATCCTCATTGGCGAATAAGAGGTATCATGGGTTGCAGAGTAGGCGCAGGCTAGGTGATAGCATTGGGGATGCCATGCCTGAATGCATGTAACACTATTGGATGTGATGGGAGGAGACTTACAAGTAACAGTGTAGGTGCAGAGTAGGCACAGGCCAGGTGGCAGCCTTGGAGAAGGCGTCTCTGTATGCATGTAACACGATTGGACATTAAGGGAGGCGCCATTGGACTTGGCGAAAGAGTACAAAAATGAAAGGTGTCGCCATCCCCATTGGCGAATAAGAGGTGTCATGGGTTGCAGAGTAGGCGCATGCTAGGTGACAGCCTTGGAGAAGCCATGCCTGAATGCATGTAACACTATTGGAGGTGATGGGAGGAGACTTACATGTTACAATGTAGGTGCAGAGTAGGCACAATCTAGGTGGCAGCCTTGGAGTTACATCCTTACTTAATTCAAATTCAGTATGACCTATTTAGTCTTACATTTATCAAAACACTGATTCACTTAATCTGTCAAACCTTCTAACCTTCAAACCTTCATACAATCAAACCTTCAAACCTTCAAACAATCAAACATACAAACCTTCAAATAACTCATAAACTTCAAACATTCCAACCTTTAAACCTTCCAACCTTCAAACCTTCATACAATCAAACCTTCAAACCTCCAAACAATCAAACATACAAACCTTCGAATAACTCATAAACTTCAAACATTCCAACCTTCAAACCTTCAAACCTTCACACAACCCTACGCAATGGCCTCTGCACCCCAATATGTCATCAATGCACATTTCAACAGTGAGACATACATTTGTCCCACCTCTGGGTTTTTGTTTAGAGACACAGACAACATCCGATTTCTTTTAAACGGGAAAGCCAATTTCTTGTACTTCAAAAAACTATTGGAGGCCAAACTTGGACGAGGCCCGGTGATACAAATATTTTATCAGAATCCAGTTTTTTTTGGAAACAACCAAATAATATTTTATAAGGTTGAGGTTCAAGATGACGAGGATCTTCAGAATATGTTTTCCAGCCATGTGTATTCTGGGTACGACTCTATTGAGTTGTACATTATGCTGCGAGAGCCTTAAGTGACACAAGTGGTTGATCCTTTGGAGAACGAACAAGCAGAGGTAGATGCGGTTGATGAAGAAGAAGAAGATGACGAGTTAGAGTTTGATGAAATGGTTAATGATGATTCCGATGATGACGGCATACCTAGTATTCCTGCAAACGAGATCTACACACCACCTCCGCACATGACAAACTTCAACATGGGTGGAGATGAACCGTCTACTGATTTATTTTTCAATCTGTATATGCAGTCGGATGAAAACTTAAAAGAGAAGGACAAGTTTCGTAACAGAGAGGAATGCATCAGAGTCATGAAAAAATTCCACATGCTCAACTCGGTCGATTTTAAGGTGGACCGTGTCAACCCAGAAAGGTACAAGATCAAGTGTGTCCATCCTGACTGTATGCTCAAGCTCACTGCATCATACAAATTAAGAGGTGACTGTTGGGTCATAGGTTCTATGACTACCCACACTTGTGTAAGTTCTACCCAATCACAGGACCATCAAAAACTTAATTACGATCTCATTTGTCAAGAAATCCTACCACTGGTCAGCAATGACCCATCTTTGAAGGTGAAAACCATTATCTCCCACATCACCACGGTTTTTAACTATACTTCGTCTTACCGTAAGGCGTGGTTAGCAAAGACCAAGGCGATTGAAAAGGTGTACGGAAACTGGGAGGAGTCATACCAAGAACTTCCTCGCTACCTGAATGCACTCAAGACTTATTCTCCGGGTACTATTTACGTTCTGGAAACAGTGCCAGCATAGGCCCAAGATGGTAGTCAACTAAATGGAAATGGAATATTCAGTCGAGTGTTTTGGGCATTTCAACCTTGCATCATAGGGTTTTCATCATGCAAACCAATTATACAAATTGATGGGACTTGGTTGTATGGGAAATACAAAGGCACGCTACTGATGGCAGTTGCACAAGATGGCAACAACAACATTTTCCCAATTGCCATTGCCCTAGTCGAGGGGGAGACCGGTGGTGCTTGGAGCTTTTTTCTTAAAAACATGCGAACACACATGGCTCCTCAACTAGATCTCTGTTTGATCTTGGGCAGACATGTCTCCATTGAAAGCGCCTACAATAATCTTGCAAACGGTTGGCATGACCTTCCTTCTACGCATGTCTATTGCCTTAGGCATATCGTCCAGAATTTCATGAGGGAGATCAAGGACAAAACACTAAGGAAAGCGGTTATGAATACGGGATATGCATTGACACAACCCACGTTTAAATATTATCGCAACGAGGTCCATTTGTCAAATCCGGAAGCCGGTAGGTGGATCGACAATATTCCGGTGGAAAAATGGACTAGGTCATACGACAATGGACAAAGATGGGGGCACATGACAACGAATCTTATTGAATCGATGAATGGGGTATTCAAAGGCATACGAAACCTCCCGATCACTGCGTTAGTAAAATCTACGTATTTTAGGATGGCTTCGTTGTTTGCCAAAAGAGGTGAAATGTGGAATGTGGTGTTGCAATCTGGACAACTATGGAGTGAAAGCTGCATGAAGTACATTAAGGCAGAAAGTGCCAAAGCCAACACTCATATGGTTATACGGATTGACCGGCACAACCATAACTTCATTGTGAAAGAAATAATCGACCACAACGAAGGCCTGCCAAGACAAGAATATAGGGTTATATTACCTTCTCGTTGGTGCGATTGTGGCAAGTTTCAAGCCTTTCGTATGCCTTGCTCTCATGTCATTGTCGCTTGTGCTTATATCCATCAAGACGCGCTACAACTTCTGTCACACATTTACAAATCTGAAACGTTGCTCAACATTTACAACAACAGCTTTCCTTTGGTAGCAAAACCAGATTATTGACCTGCATACGATGGCGAAATAGTGTGGCACAATGACCAAATGCGAAGGAACAAGAAGGGTCGTCCCAAAAGTAAGCGCATCACAACCGAAATGGACGACCTTGACAAGCTGGAAAGAAAGTGTGGGTTATGCCGTCAGGTCGGACACAATCGCAAAAATTGTCTGAATCGGGCATCTGCCTCGACCACATAAAAATTGTAATACATAAAATCTTTCCTTAATTATGTTGTAAACATTAGGGTTTTTTCGTTAACAGTATTTTCTATAATAAATATTGCGCGTATAAGAAAAAAAAACACGATATTCCGTCTACGAAATTACAACTGTTAAAACAATTTCATCTGACCCATGCATCATCAACATTACGTCGCTGTCTGTTTTGACTTCCTCCAACCATACATTAGGTCTTCCAGTCGCATGTGAGGTTGTTGTTCGTCTTCGCTGGATCCTTCGAATTTTCCCCCCTCCACAATGTCTCCATCTAGCCATCGCATCAACTCCCGCTTCAGACGCTCCATGGAGTGAATGTGCCAGAATTTCATTTTCATCGCAGGTTTCGTGGCGGAGAAGATAACGTAACCATCTCTGGTAAAAATCATGGGCGATGTCATGACGCAAATAACAGAGTAAAAAATAAGAAAACAGTGCGAGAAAGTGTGAGAAATGATGGAGAAACGGACGAATTATTTATAAAAACAGCATTTTTCCCTAGGAGCCAAGTGAGATGGCGCCTCCTCTCACTTTTAAAGTGCATGCGCCATCTCACTTGGCTAAAAGAGAGAGGAGGCGCCAAGTGAGGTGGCGCCTAGGGAAAAACCCTAGGTGGAGGCGCCAAGTGAGATAGCTCTTCCTTTGGGGAGTCATCTGAAACATGGTTATTTGCTAATTTTTTCCGAAACGTGGTTATTTGCGGAAAAAAATTTAATACCTGATTATTCAAAAAAAATCGAAAAAATGATATGCACTTTGGATTGTTTTATGAACTAAATCTTCATCTATAAGTGTAATTGATATTGTTTTACATGCACGCTTAGCTTCATGTCAACATATAATATTACATGACATTAAAGAGGATTAGCCAACAAAAACACCAATTCTCATAAATATGCTTCATAATCACTTGACAATGTAATCTTAAACTCTTAAACTCTTTTTGGTGTGCTATTAACCTCTAACACCTTAAAATTCAAAATGATTGTTAAAATGACAATTGTATCATTTTAAACATTGAATATTAATCGTTGAAAACTCTTGTTCAGTGTAAACTCATATAAAATCAAACTGATAAAAATGAAAAATGCATTGAAAATTCTTGTTTATTGTAAACTCATATAAAATCAAACTCATAAAAATAAAAAATGCATAGAAAACATCAAAATAGAGTTATTTCGTGGGAAAAAATTAATTATAAAGAAAAGACAAGACAATGTGTAATAGGAAAAAACAAAAACACATAGATATTTTCTCAAACACTTATAATACATAAAAAGGTAAAACAATATATGAAGTGAAAGGTAAACAAAAAAAAATGAAGGATATGCTTACCGAGATTGGATTGTTCTTGTTCAAACTTAAATTTTTATCTACTCATAGAGTCACCTTACCACTTAAACGTTTGTGCTTCAGCAATATTGAAAATAACCATAATGATATTCACTATAACTTTTCCACAAACATATTAAATGCAAGAAAATAAAATTTATTGGATTTGACTTTAACGTAACTCCATTCTTCTGATCATTGACATTTAAGGATGTAAGCGTTTTTCTTAATGCCTTAGCAAAGAGCAGCGCTACATCAATATAGTTCCCCTATGGTGACGTAAAGGAAATAAAATATAGACATTAGATTTTATCGGTGTGTGGTGATGATTTATGTGGTGGATATGATTCTCGTCGCGGTGATCGTCCAAAAAACATATTTTGATTGTGAAATTTAATTGTGGGTTTTGTAGAGAAGACAAAGGAGGGTATTTGTATGGTGATAAATTACTGAAAAATAACTTGTAGTCGTCGAGATCTGACTGAGAAAGTTTGTAAATTAGATAATAAAATGAGTGTAAAACAATACCAACATACCTTGTGACCGTCGCTGAAGGAGAAATTATGGCCGCCGTCAAAACTGTGAGACAAGGAGAACGAATAAACTACTGGAGGTGGTGGAAGTCGTAGATATTGTCGAGAAAGGGGGTGGAGGCGGCAGTGCTAGGGTTTACACAGAGAGAGGAAGAGAGAAAGGCTATAGAAGTGAAGTAAAAAATGGAGAGTAAGAGAAATTTTAAGAAGCGTGTTGACACATGTAGCTTTAGAATTTGTTTTGATGTTGGATAATTGTATTCATTATAAAGAGAGAAAACTAACCTTTTTTATATGTAAATTCTTTGAAAGAGGAGGGTATTTTGGGTGGAATGGTGGACTTGTCTTTTAGTTGCTTGATAGTAGACAATAGATAATGAGAATTTCTCTTTACACCTAGTAGTGGTGATTTTTACCACTAAAAACCCAAAAACACCCTTCGGATATGCACATCTGAACGCACCTATCAGCATGTTTTAGATGTGCATATCCGAAGACACCATTTTTTAACATGTTTTAATACTTAAACGTTGGATGTAGAATTTTAGTGGTTGTTTTGAAAATGCATATCCGAAACATCTGTACAGGTGGTTTCGGATATGCATTTTCGAAACTTCCTCTGTTTGTGTCATTTGTGTTTAAAACAACATCACTCCCCCTATCTTATAAACCGACAAATTATTTAGGATCTTTTTTCAAAAATATGAAACGAACATAACAATACGAACATAAAGATTAGATTAGATATTCAGACATAGGGTAACATAATTTAATACATAAGTTGTTCGGAAAGTGCGTAATGTCAAAATATTACATCAGTAAGAAAAAACAAAACATAACATAGGCTACTGCTACCACAAATGCCTAATCCTAACCCCCTATGACCTCCTCTGTCTCGTATACTGCGCCGCACTAGATGCCTCCCTAACCATCCTCTTGTTGAGCAGAGGCATTCTGATTGGGTCTGCCTTCTCTCAAACGATTGTTCGGGTCCTGGTTGTCAGTCATCTTCCTGAAAAATTAATTATAATTGTTAATATGATGATTTTAAAATAATTAACTCAAGCTAAAATTCGGAGATGCACATCTGAAACTGGTCCAGGGGGATTTCAGATGTGCACATCCGAAACCACCTGCCAACAACCATTTTTAAGAAACAACTTCTTCTTGCCCTAAATTAACCAAATACCTTTTTTTGTCACCCAAACACCAACTATTTAACTATTCTAACAGCAACCTACACAATGTCATTGATTCTAACTAACCTAATAAACTATTATATATTACATAGTGAATCAAATGGAAATAGAGAAAACTTACACAAATTTGGAGCTTTGGCGATGAGTTGAAATGACTTGAAAAGAGTTGAAATGAGGAGATGAGTAAAAATGACTGAGTTCTTCAAGTATGGATAGTAGAAATTAAAGGTTTGGAGTAGAGATATAAAGGTTTTGCATTTGAATAGAAATGAGTATATTTTGTTCGTTGTTTTGAAAATAACTCAATGACTTCGCATGTGTATCTCCGAAATCATAAATTAGAGGGTGAATTCGGAGATGCACATGCGAAGTCTCCCTTTTTTGACAAAAAAATTACTTCGAATATCCACATGCGAACACACTTCTTATTCAGATATGCATATCAGAAATTTGAGAGTATTTTAAGTTTTTCGTCAGAGGTCTAAAAGAAAAGCACAATGTGTTAAAAGAAATTCTCTAGATAATTTGTAGTGTATATTTACTTTAAAGA